AATGCAAGATTGGTTTAATATTAGAAAATTAATCAATATAATCCACTGTGTTATCGGACTAAAGAAAAATCACATGATGATATCAACCAATGCAAAAAATTTTTGACAAAATTTACTCATTCATGATTTTAAAAACTTTTAGAAAAATAGGAATAGAGGGGAACTTCCTCAATTTCATAGAGTATCTACAAAAACGCATCTACTAACATAATATTTAATGATGAGACCCTGAATGCTTTTCCTCTGATACCAAGAATGGACTTGCACTTGGAGGAACCCACGCCAACAGTGGTCTGTCCTGTTCCTCTGCTTTTAACACCCCCCCTATGTTTGCTGAGCCCAGGCTGTGTTCGAGGCCATCTGGGGGTAACTCCTCCAGGGAACTGTCCAGAGTGCACTGCTCACCCTGCCTGATGAGGGATCCTCCCACGTTGGAACATGATAGACCTTTATTTATTGACTCTATCATAGCCCCTATCACTCTTTGTTGTAATCAGCACTTTTTGTCTGTCTTTCCACTTTTGGCAACTGTTTTTACAAGTGTTCACTTTGTAATTCCTTGTTCATTTAGCCCCTGAATTCTAGGGAACTTCCAAAATTAGAGGTAACTCCCATTTTCTGGTCTAAGGCTAATTGTACTTTTTAAATAGCAATGAGGTAAGAATCTCCACACACTGAGAGTTTCACAGAGCAAAACACGATTATTATGCTGCACCTTTATGCCATGTAAAACAGTATTATAAAACACTGAGACAGTCTAATATGAGCCCTGAATGCACTATGCCTATGATACTTCTCTGCTTTTCCTTCATCATCATCATCATCATCATTATTATTATTATTACTTTGTATGGCTAAACAGTTAAACAGTTCTAGACTCTGATAAATATTTAGGGGCAGCGGTTTTGCCTCCTCACTCCAGGCCCCTGCTTCTAGGGTGCATGGGTCTTTTTATAATCTCTCTTGAGGACAATACAATTAGTAGTTTAGTCATAACTGCATTACATCATTCAGGTTTGCTTCATGCGTAGGCTGTGTCTATTTTTTCAAAGCAACATTAAACAGCAAGCTGCCATACTTGGGGAATACAATTCAGAGGATTTTTGCAAGGATTCATGTTCCATATTTGCACTAATGTAAAATATATCTTGTGCCCACGAAAAATGTCCTATCAGCATTTTTATCAATGGTATGAACTTTATGGATTAATTTAGCGTGAATTGTCCTATTGTTGGTGTAGGTTTATGCTAGCCACTGGAATATTAGTTTTTAGATGGAACAGTTTTTCTCTGTTTTATACAGAGCTGTGTCCCCAAAGCCTAAAACAAGTGCCAGGCACATAGTAAGTGCTCAGTTTTTATTGAATGAAGGAATGGGGGCCTTTCCATTTGTCCTGATCATATATCCTTCAGAAGTGTTTAAAAGTTTTCTTCATATAGATCTTATCCATTTTTCATTAATCTTTTTCTCAGAGATTTAACTTTTGGGGTATTATAAATTGTTTTCCCTTCTATAATAACTTCTAACTGGCTATTTATATAAAGTCTATGGTTTTTTGCATATTAATTTTGGAACCATCTATTAATATATTATTAAATTTCCTTATTTGTTTGCAAGATTTTTTTCAGAATTCTTTTGTTTTCAACAGGTATTATTGTTATTTTTCTTAAAACTTTCTGGAGTTCAGTAATTAAGAGTATTAAATTATACACCCAAAGAAAAACAGCAAACAACTGCATCCCATTCTGTCAGTGAGATTCTTGTTGATTATGCTGAGTGAGTACCCACACAGATGGAACCCTGCAAAGTTTTCGTAAGATAACTAAATATGGTGATTAAGGAAACCATCAAATACAGAACCATCTTATTCCTTGACAGTTGGTCATCACTGGTTCCCTGTGTTTCTTGCTAATTTGGAGAGACTACAACCTTTGCTATCAGGTCCTCTTGATTCAGGAAGTGATATTTGCAATTTTAATCACAAGTAAGAAATTGTTCCTGCGTATTAATTTGCCCCAGTTCCACTGTTTCGCCGCAGAACCTGGTTTAGTGGCCTTGATACAAAAGTGAACTCACGCAAATGAATACATCCGTCTTCATTTCTCTTTGCCATTAAATCATTATGCAAACATTAAACACCAAAAGAGATATAAAATGATTGATTAATCTAGTGGAGAGTGCAGGCTAGCTAAAAGCAAACTCCAGAAGCATGTTCCTGCCTCTCCAAACTACTTCTTTTTCTCCTACCTCCTTCAGAAATACCCATAAAAGATTTAGTCAGTCCTTCAGAGATTACAACTACTTACCGGCACTTAACATTCATGTGATTCAGTGCATTTTCATGCAACAATATTTTATCTTTACTCTTGAGTTTTGCCTGATTTAGATTCCTCCTTTGGTCTGTTTTGCTTTGCTAATCCTGATCGATAAATACAGACAGATTAAACAGGAGACAAAATTGTGACACAAATGTTACATTTGGAACAGTAAGCCTTCAGTTTACTTCGTTATGGGACTGACTCCCTGCAACCCACACTGTGGCCTGCTGGTTTCTGAATCATTTCCTCTGTGAATAGGTTGTAAGCATCTCAGAATTTTTTCATCTTTGGGTTTCATTGTCCGGCTCACGGTAGGCACTCAATAAATGCTTGAATCAATGAATGCATCAATTACCCAATTAACTGGTGCATGAATATTTTCTGTCTTTCATGTTGTTAACACTACCTCTTGGGAAAAGATGTGAAATATTTCTGAATAAGAAAGTAGTTGACTATTACCAGTTTTAAACGAAGCCCAGCTGGATTAATTTTTTAACAGAGACCAAATTAAACTAACAGAATTGAGTTTTTCTAGATTTTCAGGGTTCAGCCAGAAGCCTGGGAAGGACCTGGGTTTCTTCTGAAGAAAACTTTGTTGTCCACATCCCATAAGATTGCATCTATATAGTGGTATAAGTTTCATGCAAAAAGCATGTTTCTGAAAACCTAAATGGGAATGAAGTTCTTATGAACTCAAACTTACTTCTCCCTTGATGGGTATTACCATTTCGTAGTGCTTCTTGGTGCATTTCTGACTGATCTCTAAGACGGGCTCTTAAAAACCACGCTTCCAACTCTTCAAGTTAAGACCTATAATCAAATATTTTAATATGCAGGGTCCGTCTACACATTTAAAGAAAGTGCAAAAAATTCTTTTGTTGGACAATATTGTTGAGCACATTATGTCTCCATACTGTGAATAGTCATCATCTGTTAAGTAATTTTCAGTACTTTAATTATTTCCTTCCTTCTTTTAAGTAGTTTTTACTTAGTCTTCTGCCAAGAAGGATTTATAGGGGGAGTTGTTTGTTAAGTTGATCTCTGCAAATGCCAGTTGGGCCTATGTATGTTTTTATGGGATGTGTAGGGGTCGTTTTGCTGTGTTTTAAGGGGACCCGGGTGGAATGCACACCCTGATGGACTTTTGTTACAAATGCTTCTGGTAAATGATATAACAGTCTCTGTGCTTTGTATACTTGACAAGAATTTTGATTCTTAAATTTCAATCATGTGGTTTCACCCAAAATGTAGTAAATGAAGCTGACAACATTCACACTCATAAACTCTTCCTTAGCTTCTACTTTAAAGGGCAATAACAATTCACATATGCAATGTTGTGAAACTACCATGAGAAAGGAGTGTGCTGAGTGCTAAGGTCACAGGACCTAGCCATTTTGAAAGCCCTGCCTGGAGTGACATTCTCTATGTCACTGAGGAAATCAGTGATCTGTCCCTGCCCCCACTTGCCTCCTCTCCCATGGTTCTCTGTTCTTCTTACTTGATCAAATGAGAGATTATTTCCTTCCCCAATATGATTTGATTTTTTTTCCATTGACAGGTGGGATAGTATACCAGCAACAACTTAAAAACCTTTATGATGATAAGCATTCATATAGATTTTTAAAATAACTGTGTTATATGTAATTAAGGAAGGAGCAGAGGTGTGCAAATTATGTTTAGTTGTTTTGCCTTTGAAAAAGAAAGCCTGTTCTTGCCATTTGAATAGTGTATTTGATGTTCTAGAAGTGCATAACCCTTGAAATTCATGACCCGATTTAGGAAGAGTTGGAACACTGTTCACTCTCCCCATCCTTACCCAGAACGGGTATATACAGAGGAGGGAATATGCACACAGAGTGTTAAAACAGTGTTTACCAGAATTAGCCTCTAGACCCATGAATGTTGACTCGACTCATTTTCATGTCTGAAAGAAGGATATCCTCAAAGTTTTCTTCCCTTCAGTTGTGCCTGAAATCAAACGATTTGAGTTCCCTCTTAGTGTGTAGACATTATCTTCACAAGGTCTGTAAGGTTTAAAATTTTTTATGTGTAGAGAATGAGGACTTTACAGCAATTACTCAGGTTTCTGAGAACGAAGCCTGCTTTACTGTATGTGACATAATGTGTAAGAAGTCATGCTAGTTGTTACATGAAGCCATTGTACTTTGTTCTCTGAAAGACGGGGGGAAACAGAGAGTCAATAATGTTTTTCTCAAACCTGTAGAAAGCTCTCTCTATCAGCTGAAATGCAACATGAACTTGGATCCTACTACTATCCTACATGCATTTGTACTATTATTTTAAATGTTCTGGCCCCTGCTTTTATAGCTCTCTGTTGTTGTCTTTGGAGTTACAAGGAGAGAAAACCAGAGGAAGTCACTTCAGAATGCCTGAAAACAAAGGGTGAATATTATCATTTGTACATAAGCCATGTCAGACTATTTATTGTGAAATTAGAATGAACTGTCCCACTGGTGCCCACTTTAATAACCTATAATGGAATATCTGCATGCAATCTTTATGAGATACTCTGCAAATTGCAATGAAAAGAGGTCAAAGATCTTTTTGCGTAAAAGGAAAAGCAGAAAGAGTTCATGGGGAGGCATCAGTTCCCCACACAAAAAACAGCATCATGTGCTTCTAATCTCATTTCGTAAAGCAAATGCTTTTCTTTGTAAACAGAGGAATTCAAGGGCTCCACCGTGGTTGAGCTGATGAAGAAGGAAGGCACCACCCTCGGACTGACAGTGTCGGGCGGCGTTGACAAGGACGGCAAGCCAAGAGTATCTAACCTGCGGCAAGGAGGGATTGCTGCTAGGTAACCACATCTCGGGGAAATGCGGAAAAGGGAACACGGGGTGTAATTAATTCAAAAATCAAAGCTCCATCAGAAGAGGTCACTGATAAATGAATGACAGCGCCCTCTGCTGGCCAGAAGCACAATGGGGCATGTTTCAGAAACAGGGATTTTCTGTCCTGTGCTGAAATCACCAGGGAAACTCTCTCAGGAGCAGACAGACCCTCATAAGATTTTAATTTTAAAATGCCTGTATGGCTCTCGTCCCCAAATGTGCCACTGAACATAGAGGGGCTGCAATGGGACGAGACAGTGATCACGTACGTGCGGAACAGATGACCCATATAACGTGTATGGCTGAAACTGCCATCGAGGGCTTGGCTGGGCCCAATGCTGAGCTTCCATGCAGCAGTTTCGCTTGTCTGTCATCTTCTCTACTCTCCTACATGTGAGATCTTTCTTTTCATCAAGACAAAGAGGTGACTTTCCAAAGGACAGAAGTCTTAGATGAGATCTCATTTTGTGCTTGTTCCAATGACCTGCAAACTGTGTGCGTTGTTGCCAAAGGAGCACGTCTTGGATGCTGGGCAGGGTGGGCTCGCTCTATAGACAGGTTCAAAATTCACCTGAGAAATGGAACAGACTGGTCAGGTTTCATTAAAAGTGAGGTTAATGCACCTTAAATCCTAGACACCAGTGCTCTTGCCCACATGATCACAAATTAAGTTTTAGAGTCCTTGCCTTATAAAATGTCATTTGAAAGAACAATGACTACCTATGGTGAACTGGTTTCTACAATTAATGTATAAGCATAATCCAATGGATTGCTCCATGGTTCAAAGTATTTGTAGAACAGGCTGATGTCAACACAAGCACCTTAATTTCCTTTCTTCAGGCTTTTAAGGGATGTCTTTCCTCACCACAGCCTCCTTTATTTTACAACAGGCATGGCCCATCCATGATGCTTGGGCTCCATATTTCTCCAAAGCTTCTTCATATGAAGCAGATGTGAATAGGGGGGAAATGCCATTTGCAGTTGTATTGATACTGAAATTAAAAGTAGTACTGGGCCGGTTACATTATTATCAATCACTAAATATTCATTGTTTCAGGCACTGACATTTTATAGGTGGTAAACCAAAGTAATTAAAGATAAGATCTCCATGCAATGGGGGCTTCTAATCTATTAGAAAAGATATGGAATAAAAAGCATTAAAAGCTTGGGGGCAATAACAGCATTGCATAACAGTGAAAAGCGATGACATAAGAGTTGTCACAGAGCAATAGGCAGTTAAGTTGCCCAAATGCATGTCAGTAAACCTAAGGTAACAGTGGCAGTATGAGCTGCAGGCTGCAGTGGGTGAGGAAGCCTCACTGAAAAAGGGACAATTGGAGCTGGACCTATATAAAAATAAATGAACTACATATTTCTATTTAGGCAGAAAATATTATTGAAGGTCCTTAACAGTATCACAAATTTTAAGTTCTGTCATTTGTCATGCTGCTTGTTCTTGGTTTAGAAGCAAAGTTAGATTAAGAGCCCACATGTAGCCAGGGTTCTGTTATGCTGGTGACGAGAGACCAGAATGTCACTGAAATCTGGTATTTTTATTATAATTTCTTCCTCACCAATACTCTTCTTTATCATTCACATTGTAAGCAATAAAGAGCAAAATAAGCTGATGCTCTTCTTAGCAAATTCCCAGTGAAGATATTGAAAGCTATGAGGTGTTCAAAAAACAGGTGGCAAAAGTGAGAGAGAATTGGAAGAAAGAAAAAAGTCCTGGTAGGTCCAGGATCTGGATAATCTACCTCCCAGAGAACCAACCCTTTATGGGCAAAGCAACTAAAAAAATTCCTCCACATTTTGTTTCATGGTGCTCGTTAAAAATAAAAGAGTCAAAGGGTTGGGGGGGGGAATCTGAGGCAGCAGCGGGCCCAGTGCAGGACTTGTTTTGTTTTGTTTTGTTTTGTTTTGTTTTCCTTCATCTGAGAACTGGCTTACGGAGAGGGGAAGGTAGGGAGAGAGGGAGAAAAACACTGATGCAAGAGAGAAACATCAATTATTTGCCTCTTGTGTGTGCCCCGGCCAGGGACGACCCTACAACCTAGGCAGGTGCCCTGACTGAGAATTGAACTCCCGACCTTTCGGTTTAGGGCTCAGCACAGGACTTCTAAAGGTTAACAGTAACATGAGTAAAAGGGCTTCCTTGAGTCTCTCATCCACCATGGCTGTATCCCCACTCTCAGAAGCCAGCCGTAGCCCAGGAGGCAGGGACTTCTGCTACGTGGGCCTTGCATGCACAGTCACAGAGGGAAAGTGGAAAATAGAGCCCGCCAGGCCTGTGGAGAGCAGGGGTCTGCTGACCTGACGTTCCCTTTTTTGCAGAAGTGATCAACTGGACGTAGGTGACTACATCAAAGCTGTGAATGGGATCAACCTGGCCAAATTCCGTCATGACGAGATCATCAGTTTGCTGAAGAATGTTGGGGAAAGAGTGGTTCTTGAAGTCGAGTATGAGCTGCCGCCAGTCTGTAAGTAATCACAACCCAAGGCAGAAAGGCCGCAACACGTTTTTGCTTAAAATAATTGTTTCTCATTCTTTCTTTTTTGCTGTCATTTTCTCAGTACAGGAATGGCAGAGCATAGTTTCTTAAATATTTATAAATATTTAAAATTTATTTGAATTGATAAATGTATAACCTGCTCAGGAAGAATTGGTAAGAGCATATTGAACAATTAAATTATATTATATGGAACTTGTGTTCCATTAAGGTGATCTGTGAACACTGTATTTGCCAGTTAAACTATTTTAATAAACAGTAAACATCTTTGTAAGTTCTGTGTTTAAGTTCTATCCAGCCTTTGTATTTAGTGACTAGGTTTAGAAAAAGCATGTTTAAAGTGTTTTATATTGATTCTTTATAGTTATGTTAATCTCTGAAACATGAAAATAGATTCAGAACATGTTATTGTCAAGTAATAATAATAATAATAATGTAACAAAAGCAGCCAACACATTTTGAGACCTTTCTAAATGTCTGGCATTATACCGAACCTGCCTTGTATTGATACACTTATTTCTCACCACAAGGACACTTAGCACAGCAGAGCTGAACTTTGGTGCCAATAGCCATGTTCAAACCCCAGCTCCATCTTTTACTAGCTCTGTACTTTTGAGGAAGTTATTTAAGCTTTCTGAGTCTAAGTTTCCACATCTGAAAAATGGGCATGATATTAGTTCCTACTCCTAGATCTGTTGCAAGGATTAAATGAGTTAGTACTTGTAAAGCACTTAGAACAGTGCTTGTCCCTATAAACATTTTTGATAAGTAATAAATATATAAATCAACCAACACTCATGACAGGCATTGTCATCATTATTTTTCTCATTCTATAGATGCTTAAATATCTTTCCCAGATTAGTAAGGAGCAAAGTAAGTATCTGAACTCAGGCTCCCTGACTCCAAAGTCCATATGCTTCTTTACTGTGAGATATACTGTATGCTGTGTGTTACTTTGTCGTACATTTAAGCTATGCTATTCTAGAACCATGTCTCCAATTATTAAGCTATGAACATGGGTCTCATCCTGAGAAAGCTCTTTGCTTTTATGTACTGGTGGGCACTCAGATTGAATATTAATAATCAATACCAATTTATTTGTTTAGCAATGATTTATTGAGCATTTACTAGGTTCTCACCACCACTCTGTACATCAACAGAGTTTATGTTCCAACTGGGGAAGACAGAAAATAAAATAAAACCACAATAAATAAGTTAATTATATAGCATGAATGCCATGGGAAAAAGAAAGAGCAAGGAGCGGGGTTGGGAATGCTGGGGAGTGCAACTTAAATAGGGTGGTTAGGAACAGCTCCATTGGGAGAGTGACATAATCAGGGACTTGAAGGAGGTGAGAGAATTGGCTGGGTGGGTTTCAGAGGGAAGAGAATTACAGAAAGGTGGAACATTCAGAGCTAAGATCAAAATGTGGATATATATCTAGAGTTGTTTTAGAAACACTCGGAAGGGCAGTGTGGTTGGGGCAGAGTGAGCATGAAGGGCAGTAGGAGAGGAGGTCAGACAGGTAAAGGATGAAGTATTTTTGCAGATTGTTGGAAGGACCTTAAATTTTGCTCTGAATGCCATGAGGGCTGAGGAGTGATGTGGTCTGATTTACACCTTCAAAGGCTCCACCTGGCTGCTGTGTGAGGATAGGCTGCCGTGGCAAGGGTAGAAGCTGAGAGACCAGTTCAGGGGCCGTTGCAGTTATTCTGGTGAGAGGTGGTGGTGGAGACAGTGAAAAGACATCATATTCTTGATCTATTTTGAAAGCAGATCCCACAAGATCTTCTGGCAGATTTGATATGGGATGTGCAGAAATACAGGCGTCAAGGACCACCCTGGGCATTGAGCCTGAGCAACCAGAAGGAAGGAGTTGCCGTGAATTGGGTGGCTAAGAATGTGGGTAGAGTTGACTTGTGAGAGAAAGAGCAGAAGTTCATTGTTTAAAATGCTACAGTTGGGGTGCCCATTTGGCATGCAAAGAAGAATGTCAGGAGCTGGAGATCTGGCTTGGAATTCAGGAGAAAGCTCTGGACTGGAAATGTAAATTTAAGAGTAATGAAAATGTAGATGGTGTTTGAAATTTTGGCAACAGATGACAGCACTCGGGGAGTGAGTGTACATACCAATCACGAGTTCTTATACTTATTATAAAATCTAATGGTCATTTTATAACAAAACCAACTGAAGTCTGTGTTCAAAAACCTTGCTCCGGCATGGTTCATTTTCAGCGTGGGTAGGCGGTAAAATCCAGTGTTGAATGCTTGTACTCTGTTACTAGTTAAATGTTAGTTTTGCCCCTTTCTATTTGTGACCTTGGACATGTTACTTAAATTCTCTGAGCTTGGGTTTCTCATCTATATAATAGATGTGGAATTTTTGTAAAAATTCAAGGCTATAATCATATAGAGTATTTAGAGCATTATCATGTACTTGGTAAGCCATACTACGTTAGTCATTACTACCATTTTTATTATTATACTGAAAGTACTATTTTTTTTTTGAACTTCAAAAGAGTCTGTTTGCTTTGAAATCACTACCTCAACCATTGCCCAGGAGTTAAAAGAAGCCAGATATCTAGAGCTGATGCTCCTTGATTTAGCATTTTTACTCCACTAAGGATATGAATATCAATAAAACACAATCTTTTCCTAAAAAGAACTCTTAGGATAGCTTTCCAGGGGTAAGGACTATGGAGGAGCTTGGCCAAGTTCAAGGCAATCCAGAGCTGGGGGTTTCTGGGAAGATCTGAAAGAGGTTCCTCATATCCAGAGGGAACAGGCACGTTCCAGGCAGAGACTACAGAAAGAGGGTAAGAACATAGCCCAGTGCACAGGCTGAACTACAGAGTAGAGTTGCTGGAGCCCGCAGGGAAAAAGCAGAGAGGCCTGACAGGGATGAGGCCAACAACATAAACAAGAGCCAAACAATGGGGCCCGTGTAAGCTAAACCATGTTGGTGGATCTTGTATGGTGTCAAGTTGGCAATAAAGAGCCTTTTAAGGGCTTTTAAAGCCAAGGAACAGACATCACCAAGTCTGAATTTTTAGACATATCATTTTAAGAAGCCAAATGGAAAATAGATCAGAAACTAAAAGCCGAAGGCTATTATAATTTTCAAAGAAAGAGGTCATGTCCTGAATAAATTATAGCATCAGTAGGGTTAAAGGGGATAGCAGATGTATTGGGAGGTTAAAACCTATCATGGCTTGGTGATTAGATAGCTTTTTCTTCTTCATGCAATAGATCTGATGGGAAAAGGGAAAAATATTTTTGAACACAAAATTGTGAATTTTAGAGTAGATAGCAGATGGAAGAGGTCTATTCTCCAAGGATTATCTTTGTCATTTTCTATTATGTTTGGATAAATTAATAAGATCTTTGTATTCAGAGAGGTTGAAGGGATTAATAAGCCTCCCCTTCACTGCACTTGGGCAGCCAGAGCCGGAGTAGGCCACCAGCAGAGAGCTGGGAGGAGAACTGACGGTGAGGACTGGACCCTGAGGCTGAGGCTTGTAACTCTTTCAAGAATCACAGCAATTTGAGGCTCGGCCAACCCCAGAGTCTAGGAACAAGTGGAGGAAGGGTATGCATGTGTGTTCGTGTGTGTGTGTGTGTGTGTGTGTGTGTGTGTGTGTGTGTGTGTGTGAGAGAGATCTGTAGATGAGAAATGGAACATTGATCTTGGGCAAACCACTTACCTTTCTAAGACTGACTTTCTTTAAGAAAATGAAATGCTTGATCCACATGAGCTTTAAAGTTCTTTTTGACTTTAAAATTATGTGATGGTTTGAGTCTATGTTTAGAAAGAATATTACCAAACAGTATCAGGCATTTTTGTGTTAAAATCTAGAGTAGTGCCTTCAAAATGATCCCTAGAGAATTTTGAAATATTATATAATCCTCACCCATTTTTTTAGTTAACACCTAAAATCCTTTGTCCATAAGCTTAAAGAGTTGGAAAGGGTGTAATTTCTGGCATGATGTTTGCTTTATATATCTTTAAATACTGTTTTTATTCAAACCTTGGAGGTACATATTTTATGGAATGTATTTTGTTTTATGGAAAATGCCACAGGGGATTGGCAAAGGCAGTTGTCACTATTAAATCAGCTAAATGATCAGCTAAATCAGACTAGCTTTCCATCAGGAGTCCTTCTTTAATTCAGGTAAATGTGTTAAAGCATGCCCCTATGATGACACTCCTTTCTTCTTAATTCTAAGAGAGACAGACATCATGATGATGATGATGTTGATGTTGATGGTGATGATGATGTCTCAGATCTCTTCCACCTGGTTCATTCTGGGATTCAGTCTGAAAGAGCACCAGCTACCTGCAGAAAGCTCTTCCTGTGGCAGAGGCAAGCAGGAAAACACTGTCCAACCACTGCTTACATCTCTTTATGTCCCGTTGGCCAAAGCAAGTTGCATGAGGTAGCCCAACATAATGAGGTGGAAAAGAACACAACTCCTATTCTCCTGTAGAGGTGGGAGCTGAGAAGGCGGGGCAGTAGTATATAATTCAGAAAAATCTAATCTACTATAGTAAAATAATATGAATATGCATATAAACATGCATAGTCACATATAGAAAAAAGGGACAACAGAACATTTAAAATACTAAGGAGCAGTATTTCTTCACTGTGAAATTGCTTTCTACCTAGCCCTTCCATGTACCAGATTGATGTTTAGGAAACCCTTTAATTGGATCTTTATGCCCACACACACTCATATGAAGTAATAAGTAAAATTCACATAGCAATATAGAATATCTCAGTTCTGAATATAAAAACATAGTCACCAAGAGCCAGTCGTACAAATAAAAATTATGAAGAATAAATCTGTTTCATTAAGTGTATTAAAATATAGTCAATATTGACATTTATCTTTGTCAATAATGAACATCAGTAGTGAGGATAATCTAAAGCTGTAGATAATCCTAAAAGTCTTTATATTGACTTCAGATTTTATTGTAAGATTTGGTGGTCAGCAAGACTTAGCTCAAAAAAATAAAAATTACAGTACTTTGCATTCCCAGGCCAGACACCCAGCCCAATAAGGACAGGTGGCCCAGAATTAGATTTAGTTGTATGTAATTGAATGTTGACTTAATGATTAAATAAAATAATATTTGTAAACTGCTTTGCAGAGTTCCTGGCACACAGTAGATGTTCATTAATTATTTCTCTCCATATCTTTTCTTTTCCTCCCTTACCAATAGAACAAAAAGATCATGTTCTTTACCAAGTTCTTCAAATGGCTTGTTAGGTCATAGAAATAAGAAAACATTTGGCTTAAACTCAATTTTTGATTTAATTAAAACTGTATCTCAACATTTTCAGCTAGTTGTATGTACTATTCCTGGCTGATTAGAATAAACTGAAATTCCCCTGATAGCAAGAATATGACATTTAATTAAATCAGCAGTGTACCAAACCATTTGGTCAGCTGTAGGTTTATGTTGTTATTCAGCAGATCCAAGTTCTTATTATACTCTATGTCCCAGCTGGATGTATGCAGGTCTGTGTATTTAGCTGTGTGCTTTTCATTCTCATGTTTGTTCCTTTGAGGATTCAGAATTTCTAATAAAAATGATTGTAATTAATGCTTAATTAAAATTACCTCCTACTACTGTAAATGGAAAGAACTGTTCTTTTTTAAAATGCCTTAAATCATATCTATGTTATTTCTTGTTAAAATATAAAATATAAAATATTTTATATTTCTATATAAAATAGCCTTCAACATCTAGTAACAATGTAAAAATGTATCATTGACATTTAATGAAAACAGCATTAGATCATTTGATGTCATTGTACAAGTTCAGTACAAAGATCTAAGACCATCAGATTCTACAGTTTGCAAATTTTTCTGTCTCAGTGAATAAAACTATTTTTGTATGCATAATGATATAACATTATTTTGTGAAAATTTTTATTTTTAATTCAGCAAGCATACTATATAAGAGAATTATTTGCCAGTTTCTTGAAAACAGTCATACAGAAGAGCTTGGTGACTATACCTATACCCAATTTATACCTTCATACTGTGTATACTCTAATTAGAGATGGCAACCTGGCAATGTAATTTTATTTTGTGAAATGAGAGCAATAAACAGGTAAATACAACATAAGCATGATGATATTGAGTAAAACTAAGTAGATCTTTATTTTATTAGTCAGTAGTAATATTTTGAATGTACTTAGGATTTCTTTTGCCCTCCAAGTTGCATTTGCATTGCTGATATCTTTGTTTAATTGCTTTGTGTCATGTCAGAAAATCCGTTTGTATCTATTAATGACAATTTGAGAATACTTTTTCTTCCTTTGTTAGCTGCAAAAATTAATACACTAATTGTTTTATAACTTTTACAAATATCCTATTGTTTTTGTATTTCACAAAGGAAGAACTATTCTATTTATTATATGAAGAGTGTTTCTCTTGTACTGCAGAATTTTAACAATGTGAATATTACCATCTACCTAGAAACTGGCTATACAAGAGAAAAGGAAATGCCTGTGATTTTGATTCCATTTGAACCTATACAAGTCACTTATGCAGATGACTCTTATATGGTATTTTCATGTCATTCCAATTATTTTTTTCTAACTAACATTTTCTTTGAAAATAAATTCTTGCTCTTTTACTACTCAGAAAAGAATTATTTGCAACAGGAATCTTCTTTATTTTATGCCACATCAAAAAAATCTAGAAATGTTATTATGACTTAAAACTTACATCTCCTTCCCTCTTTTCTGCATTCAGCTGTCCAAGGATCAAGTGTTATTTTCCGAACAGTGGAGGTCACATTACATAAAGAAGGCAATACCTTTGGTTTTGTAATACGAGGTAGGTAATGGTTAGAAAATATCAACGATCAGATATTTTTGGAAAATTCCTCAATGAAATATTGGGAGTAAACTAGAGAGTCATCCTCAAAAATACCAATGTTTCTAGCACATAAAGTCACCTTATAATATTTGCACACACTCTCCTTTAAAGAAAAATAGCAATGAGTGGGAATCAAGTGGAATTCAAATGACCTAGCTTTATTTTTAGTCTGTTAATGCAGAGCAGGAAGTCACCATCTGTAGACCTTGTCTGTTCACAGTCATCCTACTTATTTGCCACTTTTAAACACGTCTTTTACCGTCCTTTTATACTTTTCTATATCAATGAGTCAAAAATGTTCACCAGTGAAGGTTGTCAGAGAGGAGAGACTGAGGGAATGAGTAAAAAAGAAGCAGAATAAGAAGAACAAATTTCTAATTATAAAACAATTATAAGTCACAGGAATGTAATTGTACAGCATAGAGAATAGACTCAATAATATTGTAATAACTTTATATAGTAATAGATCATTACTGGACTTTACTTGATGATCAATTTGTTAGATATCAAATGTTGAATAACTATGTTGTACACCTGAAACTAATAATATTGTACACTAATATAATATTATAATTTAATTTAAAAATTTTTTAAAGGTAAAAGCAACAATCAAAAGTCATTGTTGCCCATAAATCCCTGAGTTTATAATCTCAATAGAGATTACCGTTTCCTTTGGGAAAAAAATGTTGATGAGTATGGCTTGATTTGATTTAATACATTAGGATTAAGCAACTTTTTTTTCTCCTGAAATACTTTGTTATTGTAGTTTTCTAAAAATGGATTGAAGATAATCTAATCCCTTGGGCACCTACGTACATCAGCTCAACTCATCTTAATATGGGATGAGATGACATTAATAATAAAGATTTCGGGTGGCTCCAACTTGTCCATAAAACCATTAATTCTGAGCTGTAATTTTGGTTTTTAATATTCTGTTTTTCTCATTAGCAGTTTTATCCCTTAAAGACTACACAGATACTGACAACTCATTATTCCTAGTGTGAAAGTGAGGGAACTATATAGGCAACGAGGATTTTTTTTAGGATGTCACATTTCTTGTTTTTTTTGTTTTGTTTTGTCTATTATACATTGTATTTCACAAGAGTCAAAATTCTACCCAAATTAGTAAAACATTAATTAAAATTAACTAAGTAACTTAATAAATACACAAACATCAAGGAATAAAAAAGATATGTTCACTCGTATAGACTTGTCTTAAATGACTGAGCTTTAAGCATTAGATTTCATTCTGCATCAGTCATTTAGCAAATCAATCAATCAAATGTTTATTAAGGATATGTCAACATGTCAGCATAGTGCCAAGTACTCTAGAGTCATAAGACAGGACCCCTACCTACAGTAAATTACAGTCCAGTGAATTTAAGACATAAGTTGATAAAATGCTCAAGTGAGTTGTGGGGAAAATGGGCGATGAGGAACTCAATGAGCGGTTTAGACCAGCAGTTATTACACTTTTCTGACCAGGTCCTAATGTACCCTAATAATTTACCTTAACCATTTCCAAATTTCCATGTAAAAGAACTAGATGAATGTAATGAAAAGTCAGTGTACAAGTAATTTTAGCATAAGAGTAGTGTATACAAATCTGTTTTTGCAATATAGGTGTGAAAGAGAGACACTTGAATCCCATGCCTATAATACTAATTATTGGAAAGCTTCAGTAAAAGTACTGTACTTTTCAAATATTTGTCAGTAGTTGCTGTTCAAATATTTGCCAGTAGTTGCTGTGTGGTTAATCAATAACCAATCCAATTGCTAATGAAAAAGCTAAACCAACAGTAATTTAGCATTAAGAACTTAAAAAAGTAATTGAAATTCACAACCACCTCAAGACAACTGATGATATAATGTTAACAAAATGTTCTTCCCACAATTTGCAGGAATTTCAAATATCTCTTTGTGCATGCATAGTAAGAGTCTTTTAATATGAGTCTGGAGTACTACCTGGTACGGTTAATACTTAATAAATGAATGAATAAATAATTGAATGTTGCCTAGATTTGTGTAGACATCAGACTTCTTAGCATCATACTAGTATTGTACTGACTTTGAAACCCCAGGACTAACGAACCCATTTTAGTGTATGAGTGGCACATTTTTGTAGGCTTTAATAACCCCCTTAGTACATTGGCTGAACATAAAAGTTGGTAGAATTCTGCATAATTTTTCAATGAGAATCAAATACAGAACTCATATTTTTAAATCAGTTTGAGACTTATCTGGAGGATCATCCAGGCTCAAAAGGTGGCTACCATCCATCTCTTAAGAATCATTGGTTAATCACAAAAAGAACCGCAGCGTAAAAACGTAGAGTGGATACTTGTTATCATGGCAAGTAGTGCATTACAGCAGCATAGATATTGAACTAAACGTAGGTCTATGGAGACCACTGGGATGTTCAGAAAGGCGGGGAAGATATTGTACATGAGCATATTCATTTAGTCCTGGATATTTTTTTTTCTTTTTCAATTAGAATGGGTCTTAGAACAATAAAACTGGCTTTTATCTACTGAATGGAATTACATTTCCAATGATATGCCACAGGTTCTAAAACCTTGACTCATCAAACAATAGAAACTTGCGTGCACCCACAGAATGAAAAATGATGTTGTGGCCTAAATCTTGGAGAGTTAAATTTCAGTTAAATCCCTTACCACCAAACTATGGGAATTGGTTTGGGCCAGGGGGAAAGTCACTCTGCTGTAAGTTACTTTTCACTTTGGACAAAAGTGAAAACTACCTAGTTATTCTGTATCTAGTTATTCTCACCCACAGAATTGAAGGTAGATGTACTCTTCCAACATATGGAGCCTCATACTTACATTTGGTTTGCACTGTGGCCCTGCCTGAGATTGAAGTTTTTACAAAAATATCGCAAGCGGTTGATACTAATGTGCAGTCAGGATTGAGAATACCACTGGAGTCTGAATGGTTTCACACTTGGCTTTGCATCACCAAACTTCTGTAACCTAAACAGATCACTAAATTTGGTTCATTATTTTAAACACTGATATAATGTCATATATCATGAACTTTAGAGCTCTCTCTCACACTTAGCCTCATTCACTGTTATATATATTTAAATTCAGACGTCCAAATAAGAATTATGGAAAAGTTTCCTGCTGTCTTTTCTAAATCAGTGCTCCTTCCAGGAAAAGCAAATTTATCTTTTCATGATCACCTTGCAAATGAGAAGTTACATAATAGTATTTTCCTCTTAGGCTGGGTTCTTTAAATTGACCTCCTTATCGGTGCCAAGTTTGGGAAATGTCAATCTGTTCTACCAGGCAAATGTTCAGGATCGACTACGTGACGGTAGCATCCTATTAGTCATATGCTGGCAAACTAGAGACCTCCCCCATGGGCACCCAGGATGGTGATATATGAGGAAGTCAAGTCACATGAAGAGCGGTGAAGAAACTAGGAATGTTCAGCCTTAAGATGAGACCTCGCATGTGTACAATCACTGTTTTCAACTTCTGGAAAATATTTCTGATAGAAGAAAATATACATTTTTATTTTACCGCTTGATAGAACAAGAACAAGCAGATGAAAGTTGAAAAAAGATAGACGTGGTTGAATGTTAGGAAGAACCTTCTAGGTGTCCATCCATATGTGCAATGGGCTGCCTCCAAGCTAATAAGCGGAACAACTGGTGGATCTCCAGTGGATACTGAGGGGGCACAGATTAAACAATTTGTACAAAGGGGTCCTAGATTTAAAAAAAAAAAAAAGAGGAATTATAGTAAATTACCTTCTATCTCAAAGCTTCTCTGTTTCAAAATTTTTTAAGAAGAAAATTTTTCATACCAGGAAAGAATTCCAATATAGGCCTTGTAATTGGCTTGATGTAATCTGCCAAGTTTGCCCCCCAAGTTTTAAACACACCAATTTAACAGAGGCCACTTCAGTCTCTTGAATCTTTTTTTTTTCTTTCTTTTTTTAATACTTGGATTTTTTCTTTTATTTTGGTTTTTTCTCCCTATATTTCAGGCTGTAGACCTACTCACCTGTATTATAGCCCAGATTAATTAGCACCAGGTCTCCCTACCTGTACTTCATTTATAACTGGCAGCTGTTCTAAATGTGTTAGCACCTGTTATAATTAGTTGAAGCTCTTGTCACGCTAGTAGTTCAATATTTTGTATGTCACCTGTGATTACAGTCATATATTTATTGAGCAGTGAAGAAACGATTTCAAAAACATATTCCATATAAAATGAAAAAGATTTTTGAGGCTATTATATGCCAGAAGAAAAAAATTTGCATGTTTTCCTCCACACATCAACAAGATATACTTCAGTTTCTCAGCTGGCATTTTGTGAGTGAAGTCTTTTAGTGAAAGAAGCTATATTTCTTTTCTTTGCTAGGGGGAGCGCATGATGATAGAAATAAATCTCGTCCCGTTGTGATAACATGTGTTCGTCCTGGAGGGCCTGCTGACAGGTAAACTTCATCTTTCTGTGTCATTATCCAAATAGACTTAAGGACTTTGGCATAGAAGTTCATGAGTTATAAATTTCATAGTGTAAGATAGACATTAACTAGGTATGTTAGAATGTGAAAGCTGAAATAGTTTAGGTTGTGGAATCAAAGGAAAGCTTTGACACTAGTCTTTGGCAAGTGACTTAACAGTTCTGAGCTCCATTTCATCCATTGTAAAATATATATAATAGCAACTTTACAAGTTTTATCAAAGATTGGAGATATGTGGTACATTGCAGGGGACTTATCATACTGAAGATACATAATAAAAGACAGCTGGCACTTTTAAGGCAGGTGCTTGAAATGCATCAGCTCCGATTGCTAATCTCCTAACTTGGCAAGACAGGTGGTGGTGGTCTGATTCTTACTATTATCAACATCCATATCAGTATTATTATTACCTTTTGATGATAATTATGTATGTTAGAATGGAAGTAACTTTTAATATAATGGAAGGGATATTGTTGGTCTCTAGAGCTCTCTTTTCCTGGTTAATTGGAATATTATAAACCTCAGTGGGGGGGTTGGGTCCCAGGTACACTCACAACTTAGATATCTCAAGAGATACTTATTTTCCTATTAATTTCCCCGGCAAAAGTTGACCCCATAATGGTGGGGGAACACCACTCCCACCATTAGATCCTGTGTAAGGGTAAAAGAAAAGTGCCCCTGCCTGCACTATGTTTCAGGCCAGGATAAATGTTTAAAACCTTTCTTAAGCAATAGAAATAGCAATAATAATAAATACTACTTATTGAGCACTTACTATGTGCCAGAAACGGTGCAAAGTGCTTGGCAGACATCATCTTATTTTATCCTCACAACCACGCATGAAATGAAGTATTTTCATATACATTTACAGGTGACAAAACTCAGGTCCATTATGGTTAACTGGCTTGACAGCTAGTACATAGAAAAACTAGAGTAGGAATTCAGGTTTATTTTCCTCAAAGCTCATACTCAAGAGCTCACTTCTTGAAAAAAAATATCTAATATAAAATAAGAGAACATGAAGGCACTAGTTTCTCGCTTGTGCTGAAGTATATTTGCCTTTCCAGAGGATAATACAAAACCGAGTTTTCCAGGGAAATGGTGCCTTTTTTCCTTCTCATGCTTTTTCACTTCTTATTAACATTTAGAGTTGGAATTGACAGAAATATCAGAAGCAGGCTACCAGTTTGTGAGAAACATGGTACCATATTAATATAGGACTGAAGGAAATCTAAAATTTATGATTAAAAATTTAGAGTCAAACGCTTAGATAGCTATCTAGCTGAGAGATATTTAAGAGATCATTTTTATTCTTCTCAAATCCTAAACTTATAATCCTCCCATTTGGTTTTTTTCATCTCTGTGTCCTTCCCTGAGGCAGGATGGTTATGATCTGGAAGTTATACCCCGAGTGGTATCACTAAGTCCCGAGGGATCTTCTCCCAGTGCCTTGCATGTCTGTGGTCATAGCAGGGAGAATCATATTCACCTGACTTTTCCAGTGAATGTGAGACTGAATCAATTTAATGATCGCCAAATGCCCTTATAAATCAGTAGGAAATTTTACAGACTAGGGGATTTTTCACCAGTGTTCCCTATCCTGCTTGGGTTCACTGGTAATAAATTGAATGGAACAGCAGGCTTTTCTGCTCACCTGGCTGTAGGAAAATAGGTGGATGCTATTTCCTGGACTCTAATAAATCAATTTTAGACATGTAGGCCAAAATCTAAAAGAGAGAAATGTGCTTTTATTACTTTTGCTCCCCAAGAGTTAATTGTGTGGGTAACTTAGATATTTGCTAATATGTAGTTATTTTCTTATTACTGATTTTTCTATTGCAGCAATTTTCTGTTCGGGGTTACCTCTTTATTCTCTCACTGTCACACTTGATGCCTAAAAGGAAACACAAATGAGGTGGATGGCAGAACGCATATGAAAGAACCACTTTGACTAAGTGACTATTAATGCTAAGCCCCATTATGCTAAATTAATGGAGACTGTTCCTTTATTCTCCCTTCAGAGAGGGCACAATCAAACCTGGCGATAGGTTGCTCAGTGTGGATGGAATTCGCCTTCTGGGAACCACGCATGCTGAAGCCATGAGTATTCTCAAACAGTGTGGACAAGAAGCAACGCTGCTGATAGAATACGATGTCTCCGTAATGGGTATGTCCAAGTCCCATGGCTGTGATCTCTAAGCTTTAGGGCATGTCACCATCCACCCCTGATAAACCACTTTGAATTGAGAAGTAACCGTTCTGTCCTGCTGCAGCAGGCAGAGTTGCATCAGTACTCCGTCGTTACTCTGTTTGGGTTCAGGAAGAGGTGAGTGGTACTTTTCAGCAATTTAGAGTTCTTTTATCAATAAAGTCGTAAGAAAGTCTCATTCTGTCAGAGCGTTTCACCTAGCAATCAGCATTTATAAGTGGATTATCATCCTTTGGCAGGAAAGTATTTTTGCCTTCCAAAGCATAAAAATAGTGTTATTAACGTAGGGGATATTTTTAGTCTAATTATGGAGACCGAGAACAGGAGGGGATTCCTTTCCTTTTTGTAACTTCATAATATGAAGCCAGATAATCAGAATTAATGGAAACTCTCATTTTTTCATCAGACTTGGGGACAAAGAAAGGAAATGGACGTTTCATATCATTGACTAAAATCAGAAGTTGGGTGCAGTATTCTTTCTTTCAATAATGATTCCAATAGAAAGTAACTCTACTTCTACCCTCACAACTATAATAAAACTGGGACAGTAGCCTCATGTGGCTTTTAAATGTTAAGAGAGGCCAAAGATTTTGACACGTTGACTAGGGCAGACAATTTATGAGAGAACGAATTGGAACCTGAAATTGAAACTTAAATCTATATCGTAAGCACTCCTTACAATGATCAGATTTGATTATGTGACCTGACATTACCAACAAGTTTTATGCTTGTGCAATGTAGCACAGAAAAAGAGACGTGTTCTCTAAGTGCAAATTCCTTTATTTCCCGCTCTCTATGATTCACGTAGAGCAGGGTTGCTTGAAAGTATTCGTAATCTGCCTGTCAGCATGAGATGACTTAGAGAGGTATAAGGTTTCCTAAAGGGCTTAAAGTGTGAGACTCAAAGAGTTCTCAGCAAGATAAATAGGACAATATGCCCTATTTATAAATGAACTTTTCTCCCTTCTTCCCTTGTCTTGTCTTCCCTCCATCCCTCTTTTTGTTCTCTTTTTCTTTTGTCATACAGTTTTTGAATTGGATGTTTGGTTAGATGATTTGGCTTCTGTTTTCAACTCTACTGATTTCTAGCTATTAATCTGGACTAGGTTACTTATCTTTCTGTGCCTTAGTTACCTCATTTGTCAAATGGACACTAGTGGTGCCTATTTTCAAAGGCAGTTATGAAGATAAAATAAAATTATACAAGTAAATATATTTTAAATGTTAGTACAAAGTATTATTAACATGAAAAATCAAAACATATGTTTCACATATTTAACTCATTCATTCATTCTAGAAGTATTTATTGAGCTTAGTGGCAAGTACCAGGAATACAGAATAACAAACCTGGTCCCTGGCATTATGAAGCTCGCAGTTCATGGGGAAAACAGACAGTAAACCAAACTTTACCAAACATACAATCATAAAGGGCGATCATTGCCTGCCGTGAATGGGATTCTGTAATAGGGGATCAGGGCAGGCACAGATGAGTATTGGCAGGTGCCAAAAATAGGGTACTCATTGAAGAGGTGACAGGTAAGCTAAAACCCAAAGATTTAGAAAGAACCAGCTTCCAAACTGAAGACAATAGTCTGCAAGGCCCACAGTCTACCTCAGAGAGACAAGGGCTACCCCACAGGGAGGGGCAGCACTTCAGACGTGATTCCTCCCTGTCTCATTATTGCCAGTTGGGAAAGGATGAGGTGGCTCACCCGCCTGTCTGCCTTCTCCCCAGCTCACACTCACATTCTGAGTGACGCCTGACAGTTGTCACATTCCAGAGTTCTCAGATATCCCCCTAATACAGGGGAAAGTAGCCCATCAGGAAGGGAACACATTAAAAGTTCCTTTAAGTTGCTAGATCTAAGATTATTATACAAAGCTTTTCTCTATACCAGCCAAAAACAGGAAGTTTAAAATTTTAAGATGTCACTTAATAATAGAAATAAAATAATAAGCTTCCTGTAAGAAACAAATATAACAAAAGTTATACAAGCTCATTAAAATGTAGGTAGATTGTATATATTTTATATATATTATATGTACACACACATATCTTATTCTTTGTGTGTGTGTGTGTGTGTGCAAAATATGGAAATAAATGTAGACCCCTGTCATGTTCTTAGATGGGAAGTCTTAATACCTGAAAGATGTCACTTCTCTCAAATATATCAATAAGTTAACTTTATTGAAAATCTCAAAAGGATCTTGAGGGTGGGGGATCTTAATACGTTGTTTCTAGAATGTATATGGAGTAAGCAAACTGGGAGGGGGAAACAGCAAAATGTTTTTGAAGTAACATGAAAACAGAGAAACTTGTTCTAAGCAATATCAAGACTTATTCTAAAATTGTGCCATTAAGTGTATGTAATAGTAACATGGGGTAAAGAGACCAGCAGAAGAGAATGGAATGGCTAGAGACAGACCACTGCAGATACAGAAAGATGCAGGGAAAATATGACCAGCAACATTGAAAGGAAAAGAAATCAACAGAGACGAGGGGGCGGGGGCAGGGAAGGGGAAGGGAAGGGGAAAGTCAAGGAACATATAGCAAGGACTCATGGACAAAACCAAAGGGGAAGAGCTGAGGGAGGGAAGGTGGGAGGGGGCAAGGGAAAGAGGTGGGGGGGAGGCAGAGACAAATGTATTTAAAAAGTAAATTAAAAAAAAAAAAAGAAAGAAACAGAGGTGTAGTCTTACACCAGAGGGCAGAAGTAGAACTAACTAGTCAGTAAACGATGCTGGGTCAATTAGTTAGCTACAGAAGGAAAAGCCAATTAAATTCCTACTTCACATCACACCCAAAAATGTATTCTGTATTTATGTAACCATTTCCCAATAGACTGGTGTTATAAATAACTGCAATGAATATCCTTTTACCCAAATCTTTGCCTGTATTTCTGATTTCATTAAGTCAAAGAGTAGATTTCTTTTTAAAATATCTGATATGAAATTTCAAATTGTCCCTCAGAGAGGTTATACTACAGGGTGGGGCAAGAGTAGGTTTACACTTGTTCATATAGAAAATAATACAAAATTTAGTAAATAATAATACAATAATAAACTGTTTTACGTGCTCACTGCTGCAAACCTACATTTGCCTTGTCCTCTATTTTTAACTACCAACAAAGTTTTAAGTGTACCTCTGTCACTAGAGTTTGGTAACATTGTTATGATTTTTAATTATTCTGATGTTGAGTGAAAGTTGCATTTATATATTAATTTAAAAAATTTCTAGTGCAAGTGAATATTTTTTCCTATGAACACTAGCCATTTTCACTTTCTACTGTCTGCTTATGTCCTTATTCATTTTTCTATTAGAGGTGCCATGGCTCTTTTTTAAAATTGGTTTGCATAAACTATTTCTATATTAAAGACATTAATTTTTTAGTAAGAACTTTTCTCAGTATTTTATTTCCCCTTTATTGTCATACAGAAATTTGTTTCCTTTTAGTTTTGTTTTTTCTTTTTATTTTGGGATCTAAGATTTTTCTTAGAATTTAAATAATATTTTTCTAAATAGTTACCAATATAGCTGGATCAGTTAAAAAAATAATCTATCACATACCCACTGACTTGTGATTTTTTTAAATCATACACTAAGTTTCTTAATACACCAGACACTAGATCTGGGCTAGTTGTTCTTATCTCTCAATCTAGTTTCACACCAGAATTCAGCACAGAATTTTTTAAATTAAAATCTTAGCATAAGGGCTCTAATTACCATAAAAAGACACACATTTATTTTTTGAAAAATTATTTATCTACATACTATGTTTGCTGTAGTATTCTTTTTTATTTATTGTTTACCTTTTTTTTAATTTTATTTTTTTTAATTATTCAATTTTTAGACAGAGGGGAAGGAAGGGAGGAAGAGAGAGAAACATCAATGTGTGGTTGCTTCTCACACACCCCCTACTGGGGACCTGGCCTGCAACCCCAGCATGCGCCCTGACTGGTAACCGAACTGGCGATCCTTTGGATCGTAGGCTGGTGTTCAATCCACTGGGCCACACTAGCAAGGGCTTTTTTCGTTTGTTTTACTTTTTTAATTGTATTTTTTCCATTTCCATTTAGTCACCTAATACCCTGCTACCTCCCACAATCACCACGCTGTTGTCCATGCGCCCTTTTTCATTTTTGCTCAATCCCTCGACCCTTAAATTCCCCCCACCTTTAGCTGTCATCCTGCTCTCCATCTATGGGTCTCTCCCCATTTTCCTTGTTAGTTCAGTTTGTTCATTAGATTCTACATATGAGTGAAATCATATGGTGTTTGTCTTTCTCTAACTGGCTTATTTTATTAGCATAAATTCTCCAGGTCCATCCATTGCCGCAAAGGGTAAATTTCTTCTTTTTTGTGGCAGAGTAGAATCCAATTGTGTAAATGTCCCATAGTTGTTTTATCCACTCATCTACTGATGGAACTTGGCTGCTTTCATTTCTTGAAAATTGTAAATAACGCTGCAGTGAACAAAAGGGTGCTTATGTTCTTTTGATTTAGTGTTTTAGGTTCCTTTAGATATATTCCCAGAAGTGGGTCAAAAGGCAGAACTATTTTTTGTTTTTGAGATATCTCCATTCTGCTTTCAACAGTGGCTATATCAGTCTGCATTCCCACCAACGTTGCAAGAAGGTTCCCATTTCTCCACATGTTCACTAGCACTTGTTGTTTGTTGACTTATTGATGATAGCCATTCTGACAGGTGTGGGATGGTATCTCTTTATGGTTTTAATTAGCATTCCTCTGATGGTGACATTGAGCATCTTTCCGTATGTTTATTGGCCATCTGTATGTCCTCTTTGGAGAAGTGTCAATTCAAGTCCTTTTCCCATTTTTTAATTGGGTTGCTTTGTTGTTGTTGTTGTTCTTGTTGTTGTTGTTTTGTGTGTGTGTGTGTGTGTGTGTTGAGTTTTGTTAAGTTCTTTATAAATTTTGGATATTAATGTCTTACCAG